CCATGGCCACAATAAAAGTAGAGGGCCAATTGATGGACTTTACTGTAGATAGTGGGGCTAAACCCTAGGTAGTAACACAACTCACTGGGCTATTATCCAAAAAATATGTGACTATTAGAGCCATTGGGCTCCCAGAGAAGAGGCCATTTTGTTGATCTAAAAGGTGTGGCATAGGAGAACAACAAGTCCAATAAGAATTCCTGTATCTTCCAAACTGCCCCATGCTTCTGCTAGGAAGAGACCTACACCAAAAACTACAGGCCCAAATTGCCTTTGGACTACAAGGAAATATGACTTTAAGTCTGACTCATATAGGGGCCATAATGTTAACCCTTACTGTCCCACAAGCTAAAGAGTAGAGACTGTATTCAGAAAGGTCACCAAAGCCAAGAATAGATGAGCTACATGGGCTGACAATAAGGTTCCTGGGGTGTGGGCCAAAGGTAACCCACCTGGGCTGGCTGTAAATCAAACACCAGTGATAGTGGGACTAAAACTAGGGGCAGTTCTGGTTCAAATCCACCAATATCCCCTCCCCCAGAAAGCCATACAAGGTATTTAAGGACATTTAAAACAGCTCCTAGAACATGGAATCTTGGCTAGGTGCCAGTCACTTGAAACACCCCTCTTTTGCTGGTGTGCAAACTGGGAACTAATGAATATATTCCTGAACAGGACTTGTGTGCTATAAATCAGGTCACTAAAACCATTCACCCAATAGTACCAAATTGGTATACATTGATGAGACTCATTCCAGCAAGTGCTACCTGCTTGGATTTTGAAAGATGCCCTTTTCTGTCTCCACCTTACACCAGTGAGTCAGCCCATCTTTACATTTCAATGGGAAGATCCTGTCATGGGCATAAAGGAACAGTTCACCTGGACTAGGCTTTCCCAAGGATTCAAGAGCCCTCCTATGATCTGGGGAGAGGTACTTGCTGCCAACCTCAAAATCTTCATCATACCAGAGGACAACTGCACCTTCCCACACCTCTGAGGACTGCTATCAAGGAACTAGACTTCCTTCATCTACTTTGGAAGGTTGGGTACAACATGTTCATGAAAAAGGCACAAATCTGCTGACAAAAGGTCAGATATTTAGGCTTCATAGTGACACAAGGGGAATGCCAACTGGGCACTGAACAAAAACAGGCTGTCTGTGCCATTCTGATCCCAACCACCTGATGCCAGATAACAAAGTTTTGGGGGGCAACAGGATTCTGTCACATCTAGATCCCCAGTTTCTCACTTATGGCTAAGCCCTTATATGAAGTCACCAAAGGGGGATGAAAAGGAGCCCTTCCTCTGGGAAACTGATCAGGAAAAAACATTTAGACAAATCAAAAAGGCCCTGACTCAGGCCCCAGGCTTAGGACTGCCAGATATAACCAACCCTTTCTTCCTGTATGTCCACAAATGGAAGAGAATGGCCATGAGTCCTAACTCAGGTTAGGACTGGCATTGCTCAGTGGGAAGCTTGGTTTGTCTGAGAATCTAAAAATTATATCAAGATTCCTCTGCCTGCCTCACAAGTGCAAGGTCCCGAGTTTCATCCCCAGTACAAAAAAAAAAATTATTTCAAGAGAAGATGGTAAAAATTCTCTGATGAGAGACTAGCCATCCCTGAAATGGTAGCCCCAAGATTTGTAAGGTTTGTCACATGGGAAAAATGATACTAGAGACATTACCAGGCTATCATTTCTGTGTGCCACAGCTCACTGCCATCACCTGAGCTGTTTGTGAACAATGCTTAATCTGTGATCAAAGCAACCAAGTCAAGGGCCCCTGAGTATTCAAGAAATGGGTGCTACCCCTTGTGAGAACTTGCTTATGGACTTCACTGAACTACTTCGAGTGAGAGACTATCAGTATACGTAGATGCTTGTCTGCACCTTTTCAGTATGGGTTGAGATTTTCCCCACCAAAACAGAAAAGGCACAAAAAGTGATAAAGGTACTGTGAAGGGACATCATCCCAAGATTCAGACTGCCCCTGACCCTAGAGTCAGATAACTGATGGGCATTCATAACTGAGATAGTCCAGAGGCTCTCACAGATGTTAAAGATAAAATAAAAACTACACACAGCCTACCGGCCACAGAGCTCAGGAAAAATAAAGCGCATGAACCAGATGCTCAAACAATTGTTGAAAAAATATTGCCAAGAATCCCACTTGAGATGGGATCAGGTCCTGCCCATGGTCCTCCTCTGAGTCAGGTGCACCCCCACCAAACAAACTATTACAAACAAGGTATTCCCTTTATGAGATCTTGTTCAGCCAGCCACCCCCAATCACAGGTCAAATCAAGGGTGATCTCTACAAACTAGGGGAACTGACCCTAAAAAGGCAGATGTAGGCTTTAGAAATACCCATGTAAGATATCCATGGCTGGGTACATGAGAGAATACCCATAAGTCTAACAGACCCAGTACACTCCTTCAAGCTTGGGAACTTTGGGTCAAGAAATAGAATCCAATCACTCTGAGACCCATATGGGATGGGCCTCATACTATAATCTTGTCCACCCCCACTGCTGTTAAAGTTGCAGGAACTGTGCCTTGGATCCACCACAGTTGGCTAAAACTGCCAGCCCAAGACAAGTGGATCAGCTACCACAATCCAGATCATCTGAACCGGCTAATCCTATAGCAAAACCAAGCTGCCACCAGCAACAGCAGCCCTGCTCTAGTCACTCTGAAAGCTGACTAATCTCTGCACAGTTGAAGCCTGAGGAAACAGCAGCCCTACTCTGGTCACTCCAGAAGCTGATCAGTCCATGCAAGGCTGAAACTTGAGGATTAACATGGAGTTACAATGACAGCATAAGTCTCTTTTCCTTTGTGTTATAATTCTCCCTTTGCCCCTACTAGGAGAGAAATCCCTAGAGAGATGCTTCTACTACATCTACACCATACAATTAGGGAGCATCATAACAAGAGCCCTGCTATATCATACCTATTATAAATGTACACCAGGAAACTTGTACTCACAAACAGCCTACTCAGCCTATGATCCAGGAGACAACCAGCCTTACATCTGGTATGACCCCAAGTCTCCACCTTATGAAACATGGTTCAAGGTCCATTCTGGGAAGGAGGGAAAAGGTGACGGTGGCCTCTTAAACAAAACTAAGGTCCTTCCAAATCATAAAGGAGCCATTTCTTTGTACTTTGATACATGCCAGGCAACATATCTAAGCCTATCTGGAACCTCATGTGGAGGTCTGTCATGGGAAAGATATTAAAGGGATAGTCCTACAGTCTTATGTGCACCTCTGAAAGAGACCAGCCATTACTCATTTTCTCCCCTATCATGTCAAGACTCCAAATGGTATTGCTAAAACTGTGTGACTTGGGGTACTGGCCGATCCAACCCAACATATAAAACATTGGGGCAAGAGGCTACAATCCCTACAGAATTATGTACTGACCAAAATGCCAGACAAGAACCTCTAATCCTATAAACTTCACCATTCTAAAGGTGGATCTGCCTGAATAGGCTGCGAGTTACCCTATGATATTAAAGCTTGGCTATTGAGAACCAGACCAGAAGACCTACATATATTTTATCAAAAAGACTTGAACCCATTTGTCCCAATAGTTCCAAGTCTTCAACTCATTCTATAAACATATTCAACAAGAGTTACCTGAACCACCTCTCTCCTGGCCAGAAAGCTGTTCACCCAGTTAGCTAAAGACAAAGCCCCAAACCTCAGCATCTCTTTGTGTTGTGTCAGCATCTTCTCTCTTCAGAAGCTGGTTTTCATTCTTTAGAGGATTCAGGAGCTTGATAGGAAAAATTCTGGCTATCTTGAGAGTTTGTCTCATTCTCACTTGCCTCTTACTCTTACATGTCAAAATATTCAGTCAGCCATAGAGACCCTGGCAGACAGACATACCACCACTGGACTAATGGCTCTGACCAAGTACCAACCTTTGCCCAATAGGGAGCCACTCCCTTGTAATAGGACAAATGATAATAATAATGATGCTCTCTATTATAACTCATTTATAATAGGAATGAAGCAGAACTTACAAAAAAGAAATACAAGTCTACCCAACATTAAGAAGTTCTCCCTGAGACTTCCCTGCCTCCTATGGCTATTGTTCCTTGTTCTATTACAAATAAATTAGTAACTTTGTTCCTGTAAGGTTTTATGACCCCTTGGTTCTATAAGATCCTGTTTTTTCCACTAAGGTATGCTAAGTTGCAAAACTATCACTAGTTGATGAATTGCCTTTGTCCTTCTTCTGAAAACCCACTTGCCCACCCACCAATTTCTCACCACCAGGTAGACTGACCCCTTTGACCTTTAGTATAAAACTAGAGCCCTTTTCTTTATTCAGGGATCAGCCGTTGGGTATGAATCCATTGAGCTGGTGTGCACCTAAATGAATCTTCCTCTTTCACTCGTTGGTCTCTCTGGTCTCTTAAATTCTGCAACAACAGTGTGTCTGTGTGTGGGGGGGGGGTTGTGGCTCAACCCAGAAGGGACAGTCATGACTGAGACATCACTGTCCCCATGCTCCTTGGCCCTGGTGTTGGCTGTCACTCTTCTCAGGCTATTCTATGTCTAGACCCTCTACCCACCAATACCTCAGTTCTCACCAATTCTCTGTTCATGGTTCTGGGCTAAGTTCCTCACTTGAGGATGCAAAAACCTCCAGCCCCGATCGATCTTAGTAAAATAACACATCTTCCCATCTTAACCCAGTGCAGGACTAAGGCACAGTTTGGTCTGTGAAAACAGTAATAATTAGAAAGATTTGCTAATCAAAGAGTTGGCTATCTCTGATCACCTACCCTAGTTACAAAAAAACCCCTAGGTAAATGCAATTGAATTATGAGGTACTTTTATTTTTCCTTTACTGCATCTCAGATAAAAGTCTTAAGCTTGGCTCCCTCTGGCACTAAGTAGAGAAATCCTAGAACCACTGGTGAGAGTAGGAGGGATCCTTCCACAGCTTTTGCTTAGCTGCTGATTTCTTTTGTCTCTTCAGGGGCTCACTGAGAGGAGGGGCCCTGGAGCCTTATCATTCTTCTGCCAGGAAGACACACATAGCCGAAGATGAGTTTGGGGAAAGCAACTGCTTGCTACCTGAGCTATGGAAAAGCAGAGCCATCGTGAGATGGAAGGTGGCCCACCCGGGTCTCACTCCCACATTAGATTTTTGAAGGTCAGCCGGGAACTTCTAGTCACGCACATCCGCAACATTCAGTGTCTGGTGGACAACTTGTTGAAGAATGACTACTTCTCAGTAGAGGACGCAGAGATCGTGTGTGCCTGCCCCACCCAACCTGACAAGGTACTGTGGCAGGATTCCCTGCTGGCCTGAGGGAAGGGTTTTGGGCGGTTAGTACACTAGGCAGGATTTTATAGTGTGGGCTCGACAGTACATACGTGTGCATGTGTGTGAACATGCATATGTGCGTACGTGCGTGTATGTGTGGCTGGAGCAAGCTCTTACTGCTGCTCAGCTCTTGTTGCTGTATTGTTCCCAAAGGGAAGAAGCAAATGAGCACAAAACATTGTCAGTCACATCCATTCACCCTGAGGGCTGCTCACATTGGGCCAAGACTCAGAATGGGCACTGTCGGGATTCAGAATGACCGCATTCCAAGGGGTCCTCACTGAAGAGATGTCTGTGCTCCCTTAGTTTCACCTTGGCTTGGAGTGTCTTCTGAAGAATAAAATGGATACCCATGAGTCCTTGTGGAGAGAAGCGAGACCCCTGTTGCTGTGTGACATTGTCAGGGTTCACAGAGACCCGAACGGCTTCTGGCCAAGCCCAGTAGCACACTCGTGTGCTTGGTCTCCTCTCGATTTTTCTGCAGCTTTAATACCAAGGCTGTTCTTAACATACAATGTATATGAGGTCTGTTATCTTCTTGCTGTGTGGCCCAGCCGCCCCACCTCATTATACCTGAGGGGTGACGTGTCCTCTCCGCTCTTATTGCTGGCAGACAGAGAATCCCATGGGTGGACACAGCTTTCACTGTGTACCTGATCTTTTTGTTTTTAGGCTCGCAGATGCCTGGAGGTTTTGTCGATTTCTGTGGTCTTATTTCTTGCTAAGAAGGTCACTTTTGCAGATTCTAGGCTTCCAACATATCCATTCTCACTCTGGAAGGGCAGATGGCTATGGTAAGAGCTTGGAGCCCTGTGCTGTGTCCACTCCTCATAACAGGTCATGCCTTTATGCTTGTGCCACAAACAGGTTCGAAAAATTCTGGACTTGGTACAGAGCAAGGGCGAGGAGGTGTCCGAGTTCTTCCTCTATGTGCTCCAGCAACTTGCAGATGCTTATGTGGACCTCAGGCCATGGCTGTTGGAGATTGGCTTTTCCCCTTCACAGCTCATTCAGAGCAGAAGTATTGTCAACACTGACCCAGGTACAAGCCAGCCCCAGCAGGACTGCAAGCACCAATGCAACAAGGCCCCTGAGTTTGGGAATGCTATAATGCTAGGCCTGGGTGGCCACGCATGGCCCCACCTTGGGAAGCAGGCCTATGTGCTACTTGGATTTTAGAAAGGAAGAGCTGGTCCCTGTTACCTAAGTGTACCCAGCTGACTGTACCTGGGCTGAGCACATGTAGCTGGTCTGGTTGTTAATGGAATCCAAGGTTTTGTTTGAGGCAACAGCTCTGTGACTCAGCCACATCCCCAGCCCTCTTCGATAGCTTATATAGGCCTCCTGGTAATGTGGATACAGATTCCATTCGGATGTCTTGCTTACCTCCCACTCTGACATCAGAGGAGGAGAACAGCATCAGAGAACCAGAGGCCAAGGACCATGTACATTGAGGACCCAAGGCCACACCTCTGTGACCCCCCAACACACCCAGAAGTGTGCTTTTCCTATCCCTAGGATGGAGCCCAGGCCAATCAAGTTGACACAATGCTTGTTTCCTTCCCCCACCAGAAAAGGAAAATATTCCCATGGTGAGAAGTTCTAAGGACTTCTCCACTGGTCCCTTTAGCCAGCTATTCACTAGCCTTTAAAGTATAATCCACATGCAAAAGTCTACCTATGCTGGGTGTGGTGGCACATGCCTGTAATCCCAGCACTTGGGAGGCTGAGGGAGGAGGATTGCTAAGAGTTCAAGGCCAACATGAGCTACACAGTGAGTTCAAAATCAGCCTGAACTACATAGTGAGACCCTGTCTCAAAAAAAAACCAAAACCAAAAAACCCAAAACAAAAAGACTACTGACATATAGTACAAATCCACTTATACAAAATGTCTTAAAAAAGCAAATTTTGAAGAAAGCAGTCTAGTAGTTTCCTAAAGTCTGAGGTTGAGGCTTGGATTGGGGCAGATAGGAACCAGAAGGTTTTGGGAGGATGATGGAGATGTAATATGTGCACAATTTTGTATATTTACTAAGAATCAGTCCTATTATGTAACACAGCAGTGAACTTTATGGCATATAACTCATCTTTCAGTAAAGCTGAAAATAAAATACAATTCACTACAAATTTTAAACAGACAACCAACTTAGACTAAGTTGATGGGAAAGGGGTTTAGATGGTTCTGAAAATGTGTACAGGTGTCCAATTTTTTGCTAACTGAATATAATTTTAAAGTTCAAAAAGTATTTTAAAGAAATATTTGCAAACTCCTTTTGGGGGAGAACCACTTCCCTCCTGATACAAGTCCCATTTTTGTCACTCAGGTCTCCTAGGGCCACCACACCCTTGTAGGAGAATTAAGGTGTTTTCGCTCTGGTGGGCACTAGGGGTCACCCTATAGTTTACACCCCGCATGACAAACTGAGGCCTGGCGGGCGGGGTGCTGTTTCTCCTCAGGGAATTTAGTCACAGTGCTTTCAGTGAGGCGCGGCTCCTAAGGAAACCAGGTTAACGCCCATCTCTGTGTTTTATCACCTGTTTAGACTATGGTCCCCATTGTCTCAAGATCAGTCAGTGCTATAGGCAAAAGAAAGGGTAGAGTCCTCTCTTCCTTAATAGGTTAATAGTATGACTTTCTACCGGACTGGCTCGCGCTATCTGGGCAGGACCGTGGGAGCAGGTCCGTCAAATCAAGTGTGAGCGGCTCAGTCTTAAGAGTTCAATGGGAACAAGGCCGGCAGGTCTCTGAAGTCTGTCGCCCTCTAGCGGCCTAATCTGAAGTCACGCCTAGAGGTGGAAGCTAGGGCTTCTCTGATTCGGGCCTGCAGGCTCTGGGGATGTTTAAGGAGTGACTACCTTTGGCCTTGGTGAGGACTGTGTGTTTGGTTTGCTGGTGAGCTTGCCTTTCGTCCGGCCGACCGCCCTGTTTGACGTGTTCCCATCTCTCTCTCTGCCTCTGACTCCCCCGCGGGTCGCTGTGCCCCAGTGAGTCGGTACACCCAGAAGCTGCGACACCAGCTGGGCTGCGACTCCAAGTTCATGCTGTGCTATGCGCAGAAGGAGGAGCTGCTGCTGGAGGAGACGTACACGGACACCGTCATGGAGCTGGTGGGCTTCAGCAACGAGAGCCTGGGCAGCCTGGGCAGCCTGGCCTGCCTGCTGGACCCCAGCTTGGGGGTCCTCAATGAGCACGGTGAGACCGTGTTCGTGTGTGGTGACGCGGGCGTGGGCAAGTCCATGCTGCTGCAGCGGCTGCAGAGCCTCTGGGCCTCGGGCCGGCTGGGCGCGGAAATCAAGTTCTTCTTCCACTTCCGCTGCCGCATGTTTAGCTGCTTCAAGGACAGTGACACGCTGAGCCTGCAGGACCTGCTCTTCAAGCACTTCTGCTACCCGGAGCAGGACCCTGACGAGGTGTTCGCCTTCCTGCTGCGCTTTCCCCAGGCGGCGCTCTTCACCTTCGACGGCCTGGACGAGCTGCACTCGGACTTCGACCTGAGCCGCGTGCCGGACACCTGCTGCCCCTGGGAGCCCGCCCACCCGCTGGTCCTGCTGGCCAACCTGCTCAGTGGGCGGCTGCTCCGGGGCGCGCGCAAGTTGCTCACTGCGCGCACGGGCGTCGAGGTGCCACGCCAGCTCCTGCGCAAGAAGGTGCTTCTCCGGGGCTTTTCGCCCAGCCACCTGCGCACCTATGCCCGGAGGATGTTCCCCGAGCGAGCCGTGCAGGCCCGCCTGCTACAGCAGCTAGAGGCCAACCCCAACCTCTGTGGCCTGTGCGCCGTGCCGCTCTTCTGCTGGATCATCTTCCGCTGCTTCCAGCACTTCCACTCCCCCTTCGAGGGCTCCCCGCAGAGGCCCGACTGCACCATGACCCTGACCGACGTCTTCCTGCTGGTCACCGAGGTCCACTTGAACAGGACGCAGCCCCGTAGCCTGGTGCAGCGCAACACGCGAAGCACGGCCGAGACGTTCCGCGCAGGCCTGCGCACGCTGCGCTCGCTGGGCCGGGTGGCCCGCGGCGGCATGGAACAGAACCTCTTCGTGTTCTGCAGTGATGAGGTGGAGGCCTCCGGGCTGCGGGAGCAGGACCTGGCGCTCGGCTTCCTGCGGACCGTGCCCGTGCTGGGCCCCTATGAGGGGCAGCAGTCCTACGAGTTTTTCCACATCACCCTGCAGGCCTTCTTTACGGCCTTCTTTCTCGTGGTGGACGACAAGGTGGGCATGCAGGAGCTGCTCCGGTTCTTCCGAGAGTGGACACCTCCAGGGGAGGCCGCAGCCGCGTCCTGCCTGCCTTCCTTGCTCCCTTTCCAGCGCTGGCGGGGCGGCCGCCCAGCGGGCTCCGACCTGTTCAAGAACAAGGACCATTTTCAGTTCACCAACCTCTTCCTGTGCGGGCTGCTGTCCAAGGCCAGGCAGGAGCTGCTGTGGCACCTGGTGCCGGCCGCCACCCTGAGGAGGAAGCGCCGGGTGCTGTGGGCGCACCTGTGTGCCAGCTTGCGGGCCTACCTGAAGAGCCTGCCCCGGGTGCGCAACGAGGCCTTCAACCAGGTGCAGGCCATGCCCACCTTCCTGTGGATGCTGCGCTGCATCTACGAGACGCAGAGCCAGAAGGTGGCGCGCCTGGCGGCCCGCGGCGTCTGCTCCGACTACCTCAAGCTGAGTTTCTGCAACGCCTGCTCTGCCGACTGCAGCGCCCTCTCCTTCGTCCTCCACCACCTCCACAAGCGCCTGGCCCTCGACCTGGACAACAACAATCTCAATGACTACGGCGTGCGCGAGCTGCAGCCCTGCCTCAGCCGCCTTGTCGTCCTCAGGTGAGGCCCAGGCACGGGTGGGTCAGTTTCGGGGCCCGGGACACGTGTCATGGATCGGGATCCTCTGGGCCTGTCCTTACCTCAGGACTTAGGGACCAGTGGCCTTGGAAGGTCCGGACGTGCTCTGTCTCGGTGGCAAAGGGTAAGGAGCAAAGTGAGTGAGTAGGCGCCCTTGAACAAACTGCTGAACATCTCTGAGCCCCAGCCTTGTGGCTGGGAAATAGCCGGCGCTCCTAATCCTAGCGGTCATAGTGATAACAGCCAGTGCTAGTTGAGAGTGGGCGAAGCGCGTTGGAAATACCACCTAGTTTAATGCTCCTACCCCTGTGCGGTGGGTTTTGTTACTGTCTCCGTTTTAGTAAATAAGGAAGCAGAGGCACAGAGAAGTTAATGACTTGCTGCAAGTCACACAGCTGAGACGCAGTGGAGCCAAATGCCACAACGAGCCTACCTTTTAAGATTAATCTGAGGTTCAGAGGTAGCCCATGGAAAGTTCTGGGGTCTTGGGAGGTTTGTTTTTCCTGCAGAGAAAGAAGACTACTAGCATTCAGTAGTTACTTTTTGTGATCAAATCAAGAACCCTGCACCCCAAAGACATCATTCAAAATGCTGTCTCATGGTTATTTTCCTGCCCAGTGGTTTGCAGGAAAGCGAGGCCAGCCTGCTTTCTTCTCTCACCATTTCCTGTACGAAACCTGGTCAGTGTCTCCAGCCTAAACTTTTCCGTGACTTGGCGTGCGCATCTCTGCAGAGCAGTGGGGATTTGAAATTCCCAGCGCCTGGTATCCCGTACTGGAGTGGGGACGGGATGGACACGTGGAGTGTCAGGAGCCAGAGGCTGCCCTGGCCTGGGAATTGAAAGCCCGAGTCTATCCTCTGCCCCATCAGCCAGCCACTCTCCTTTCCCCAGCCTTCAGCCACCTCCCACCCAGCGCCACCAGTCATAGAAAAGGGAAACTCTACAGCAGTGTGGTGGTCCTGCCCTGCTGTCCCCAGGTGAAGTTTCCCACCACTCCAGCAAAGGACAGTAGCTCACAGGAAAGCAGGGGGTCTGTGCACCCACAGGGAGGCGCTCTGAACTTCCTGAAGGCATCAGTTAGGATTAACTGCAGCTCAGAGTTACAGAAAGTACAAAATCTTAGTGGCTTGAGTTACAGCTTATTTCTGTTTTAGGCAAAATCTAGAAATAAGGTGGTCCAGGGCTTGGTATGGTGTCTCTGACCACCAGAAGATCAGGTTCTCTTCTGCCTTGCTGTTCTGACCTCCTTAGTACTGGCTTCTGCCTCTTGACCCAAGATGGGCTGCCCAAGCTTCAGATATCAAGTCATCGTGCCACCAGGAAGAAGGAAGGACAAAGGGCACACTCCATTCTTTTAAAACTTCTCAGCTATTGCTAATGATACTGCTTCTCAGATTTCAGTGGCCAGGAGCTATGTCAAGCTGAAAAAAATATGTAAAGCCAGGTACCTTGGGAAGAGGGTCCAGGGTGTCTGATAACTTTTTTTTTTGGTACCAGGGATCAAACTCGGGTCCTTGCACTTGCTCAGCAGGCGGCAAAACCACTGAGCTAAATTCCCAGCCCCTAGTTTCTGGTAATTTTGAGGCAGCCCAGAAAGTTAAGCTTTTACCTGTTCAGCCTTTTACTTACTACAGAAGTTGGCCCACAGTTTATGTTTGTAAACAAAGTTTTATTAGAACACAGCCATAATCGTTGGCTGCTTTACACTATAGAGTTGAATAGTTGTGCCAGAGACCAGCAGGCCTCCAGAGTCTAAGATATTTCCTAGCTGGTCCTTTGCAGAAAAGTTCACTGCCCCTGGTCTGTCACCTCCCTCCTTCCTCCCTCCATTAGCCTCACCTCATGATGGAGTGGGGGACTGAGAAGAGCAGGTCAGTTGTTTTTACAGAGACTGATGGAGACAGAGACAGATGCAAATGGAGATGGAGCTGGAGAGAGGGGGAGAGAGAGAGAGAGAGAGAGAGAGAGAGAGAGAGAGAGAGAGACATGGTAGTACATACCTGTAATCTCAGCTACTTGGAAAGCTGAGGCAGGAGGATCATGAGTTTGAGGCCAGCGTGGGAAACAGTGAGACCTTATCTCAAAAAGAAAAAAAAGAAAACAAGGAAAGGAAAGGAAGGCAGGCTGGGGATGTAGCTTAGTGGTGGAGCAATTGCCTAGCAAGCATGCGAAGCCCTGGGTTCCATACCCAGCACCACGAATCAAAAAAGTACCTCCCATCTTGGCCATGGCAAGCTGTCCTGCAGGTGTAGAGAATTCCCAGTGTGTGACTGGCTGCCAGCTTAGTCCCAGTGCCCTGTACGGCATCACTGAGGAAGTGCTGGACAGTGGCCTCGCCAGGGCCTGCCTCTCCTGGTCCCACCTCTGGTGGCGTCTCCACCGCCTGTGCACGTCCACCCTCCACTGCTCCCTGAGAGCTGTCTCCCGCCACAGCAGGACCCTCAGCCTCTACCAATGGAAAGTCAGCTTCAGCCCTCATGTCTGGACGGAGGCTGTTTTTGTGTGAGGTGACCTCACTGTCCCCCTGTGAAATGACAGGCTGTTCCTTTCCCAGCTGCAGAGATCACTAATGACAGCTCCTCACATTCACAACCCCTCACCCACTGTGTGGTGAGAGCCACAGGAGCGCAGGCTGTGCACAGAGGCACCTGGCCCTCCTGGCCTTGCGGTGTGCAGGGCTGTTCTGCTGCCTGAGCAAGGTGGCCTGTGGGCCAGGATGGCCAGCTTCAGTAGGGGCCATTTGGTGGATACCTACGGCCATCCTCGAAGAAGCGTTCATAACTGGGAGCCCCCAGGGCCTCTGTGCCTTTGGGTCCTCAGGGGGTGAGAGTCCTTCAGAAGGTACACAACCCTGACTTGTCATTTTCTTGGCCGCTCTATTTCAGACTCAGCGTCAACCAGATCACTGACAATGGGGTAAAGGCGCTGTGTGAAGAACTGACCAAGTACAAGATTTTGACATTTTTGGGGTATGTCCTTCCTGGGAACACTGGGCCAATGACACAGTAAGAATATAGAGCAGTACAGAATACAGATCCCATCCGTGTGGTTCCATGGGTGGAGCGGGAAGAGAACCTGCAGTCTTGCCTTCTGTTCTTGGCTTGGCCCAGCTCTTTGTCACTGAGCTCAGCCTCGCTACTTGTAAAGTTGGGATCCTAACCTAGGTGAGCAGCTTCACCACTAGGTACTGGGGGATGAATTGAGAGAATGGGGTGGGGGGACTCTAGAAACATTAAAATCCTGTTTGTAATATGCCATTGTCTTTGAGAGTTCTACCTAACTTATCTTCCAGCAAGTTTAGTGTTTCTGGTTTTTTTTGGTGGGGGTTACCGGGGATCGAATTCGGGTCCTTGTGGTTGTGCAGCAGGCAGCGAAACCAGAGTTAAATCCCCAGCCCTAGTGTTTCTGTTTTAATATTTAGATTTTTAATCCACTTTGATTTTAGTTTAGTGCATGGTGAGAAATATGGGTCTAGTTTTAATCTTTGGCAAGTTGAAATCCAGTTTTTCCAACACCATTTATTGAAGAGGCTATCTTTCCTTCAGTGAGGATGGTTGTCTCCTTTGTCAAAGATGAGGTGGCTGAGTATGTATGGAGTTGTCTCTACCTCTTCTAATCTATTCCACTGATCCTTGGGTCTGTTTCTTTGCCAGTACCATGCTGTTTTTATCACAGGGGCTTGGGAATATAGTTTCAAGTTGGGGATTGTGATACCCCCAGCCATGTCTCTGTTGCCTAGAAATGCTTTTGCTATTCTAGGTCTCTTCTGGTTCCAAATGAATTTTTAGATTGTTTTCTCTAGTTCTGTGAAATATACTGTTGGGATTTCAATCAGGATTGCATTGAATCTGTATAGCAGTTTTGGAAGTATGGCCATTTTCACTATATTGGTTCTTTCTACCCAGGAACAGGGGATGTCTTTCCATTTTTCTTATATCCTCTTTGATCTCTTTTTTCAGAGTGCTGTAATTTTCAGTGTAGAGGTCTTTTGTCTCCTTCATTAGATTGATTCCTAGATATTTCATTTTTTTAGATGCTATTGTGAAAGGAATTGTTTCCCTAATTTCTCTCTCAGTGAGTCTGTTATTTGTGTTCAAGAAAGCTATTGATTTTTCAGTGTTGACCTTGTATCCAGCTACTCTACTGAATCTGTCAATTAAGTCTAGAAGACTTTTGGCAGTTTTTTGGGTTTTCTATGTAGAGTATCATATCATCAGCAAATAATGACAGTTTAACCTTTTCCTTTCTTATCTTTATTCCTTTTATTTCTTTCTCTTGTCTAATTGCCATGTCTAATGTTTCCAAGACTATATTGAACAGGAGTGGTGATAGTGGACATCCTCATCTTGTTCCTGATTTTAGCATGAAGGTTTTCAGTTTTTGACTTTCCTACTGTGGGCCCAGAACCCCTCTTTCAGAACCCTTGGGCTGAACCGAAAATCAGGATTCAGGTTATGTGCTGTGTTACAGTGGCTCAGCCAGGGAGGGCCCAGGGCACACCCCAGGTTCAGGAAGTATGCCAACAGTCAAAGCAAGTAGGGTAAGTCAAAACCATAAGCAGCTCCACATCGGTTGCTAAAAAACTTGTGAAGAACTTTGGGTTTTCAGAGCGTTCTGTTTTGGAGTTGGAAATGAGGGATTGTGGGCCCCAAAGCTGCTGTCAGCCCTGGGAGCTGGAGTGATTGCTTAGGGCCATTGTGCCTCCACTGTCTCCAGGTGAAATGTGGACAAGGAAGCAGAGTGCTGTGTGATGGGGAGCCCTGGCTGAATTGTGCCCTTCACCTTTGTTCTCCCTTCCTGTTGAACTGGAATGGAGCAGTAATGTGACTAAGGTTGGGCCCAGAGAAAGTGTGATATTCAGAGGGAAACCTCGTCCCTCAAGAGCCTGAGAACCATCTTAGTTGATAAGTCCCCATCGTCTAGCACTTACATGCCAGGCTGTGCACTCTGTCACCTGCTCCATAGCCCAGTCAGGGGCTGTGAAGGTCACCCCCACTGCAGACAGACTGAGGCACAGGAGAAAGTGGTGGCTGGTTTGAAGCTAGGCTGAATGGCAGAGCCCCAAACTCTGGTCCCCACATGTTCTGCATTCAACCTAGACTTCAGAAACCAGGAGGCAGCACTTGCAGAAGGGCTGGGAGACATTCCCAAGGCATCAGGCGTCATAGTCTCCTGGCTGTGCTTTCTCGCCCAGTTTATACAGCAACCAGATCACTGATGTCGGAGCCAGGTACGTCGCCCGGATCCTAGAGGAATGCAAAGGCCTCACCCACCTTAAGTAAGTGGGGTGGGAGCTTCTTCCTCCTTCGAGTCTTGCGGTCCCTGCTTCCATTATTAAAAGAATCAATGTAACTGTGAAAAGCTTTCATCCTAAACCTTCTACCTGCCCTAGGGCCAGGCTGGTCCCATGGAGGAGCCCTGTGTGTGGAAGGTAATCTTGCTATGTGGAGAAATTATGACCAGGGCGAGGTGCGGATTTTGAAAGGGTCCCCTGCTGGTGTGTGTGTTTGATTTCATTAACTGCTGACCAGGAAGAAAGGGCATAACTACCACCCTTTGGGGAATACTAGAGAGAAAGATCTTTCCCCAGGGGAGATTCCCACATGAGCGCAAGGGGCACGGAGCTCTTGGTCCTGCCCTGGCAGTGGAAACACACACCTTGACCACTGGCAGCCGGCCTGCTGATGTCCTTTGGGTCACTTAGATGACACAGGATGGCTCGGGTCACTAACTTTCTGCAGAGACTCCTGCCGTCTCCTGCAGAGCAGCCCTGCCTGGCTGCCTTCAGGGCTGCAGGTCCCTCCTGAGAGAGGTCCAGAGCACAGCTCTTGTGTGTCCTGGGGGCAAGGGAAGGCCTCGGTGGCGAGGGAGAGGAGGGGGGGCTCTGTGTGGGGACGGGGTGGAGTCCCATGCACCTGCCGCCTGACCCCATTACTCTCTGCAGACTGGGAAAAAACAAAATAACGAGCGAAGGCGGCAAGTGTCTCGCCTTGGCGGTGAAGAACAGCACATGGATCTCTGACCTTGGGTGAGCTGAGCTGGGGAGTGTGACTTGGGGATGTGCAGCCGCTGCTGGGTCTGGCCACAAAGGGGAGGCAGCAAGGAAGCCGAGGGCCGTGGTGTGGGAAGTGCCAGGACTGAGGGCCAATCTGGCAGCTCAGACTTCTAATTAGGCTGTGCAGAATCAGTGTTATCACCACCAGCAAAGATGGAGCTGTTCCAGCTTGGCGTGGTGGCTGCTACAGGAAGAGATATCTTTAGGACGTCTCTGGAGACTTTCTCTCCCTGCTCCTCTCTGGTACTGGGCATTGAACCTACTAAGCTGCATCCCCAGCCCCTTTTTAATGTTTTTAATTTTGATACAAGGTCTCACTAAGTTGCTAAGTCTCCCAGGCTGAGGTTGAACTTGTGACCCTCCTGCCTCAGCCTCCCAGAGAGCTATGATTACAGCCATCCTCACCATGCCTAGCTTCTGTTTTTAAACATTGTGGCAAAATACACGTAAGATTCACCATCTTATCCATTTTTTTAATCTTATCCATTTTTAATTGTATAGTTCAGTGGTAGTAAACATAATCATAGCATTATTCAACCACCACCATCTCTAAAACTCTTTATCATGCAAAACGGAAACTGCACTATTCCATGCCAACCTCTGCTTGCTTCCTACCCAACCCCTGGCAGCCACCATCCACTGTCTCTATGCATCTGACTCCTCTAGAAACCTCGTGTAAGGGGAGTCATGTAGTAGTTGCCTATTTCACTTACCATAATCTCCTCAAGGTTCCTTCCTCTTGTAACATGTCAGAGTTCCCTCCATTTTAAGGCCAAATAAAACTTCATTGTATGTAGATACTAGATTTTTTTCCGTACTGGGGATTGAACCCAGGGATGCCCTACAACCGAGCAACATCCCCAGCTATATTTATTTTTATTATTTATATATAATAATATAAGATATTTATAATATATAATATATTTATATATATTATTTATATATTTTTATTATTTATATATATTTATATATTATATTATTATATTTATTCTTTTCTTGGAGACAGAGTCTCACTAAGTTGTCCAGGCTGGCCTTAAACTTGGGACCCTCCTACCTCAGCCTCCTGAGTAGCTGAGTTTACAGACATGTGCCACCACACACAGCTGCATGTATATATTTTGCTTATCCTTTCATCCCTCAGTGGACACTTGGGTTGCTTCCATGTTTCAGCTGCTGTGAATAATGGTCCTGTGACCACAGTGTACCAGTACCTCTTCAGGATCTTGCTTTCATTTCTTTTGGATATAGACCTAGAGATGGGATTTCTGGATCATGTGGAAATTCTGTTTTTAATTTCTGGAGGAAATGCCAAAATGTATTCCACAGCAGCAGCACTAATTTACCTTCCCTCCAACAGTGCACAGGGCCTGCAGTTTCTCCCCATCCTCACCAGCAATTAATAGTTTTGTGTTTTGTTATTACTAGCAGTCCTAATGCGTGGGAGGTTAGAAAGCTTCTAATAGCTTTGTATAATCATTATAATTTTTATTGGATTATAAAAAGAACACAAATAATTTTATTTAGCAACTATGGAAAATATGACAGCTATCTCCCAGAAATAATAACTGTTAACATTTGAGCTCATTTAAACTCTCCTGGTTTCTTTCCCCCACCTTATTTTTATATAGTAGAGGTCAATGCATAGGTACAGAATTTTAGCCTTCATTTTTCACTTACTCTCATGGCGTGAGTAGTTTGCCACTTTATTTCAGACTCCATGCTCTTCATTAGTATAGTACATTCATATTGTAAGCGAAATACTGAGGTCTTACCCTGGCTTGTGCAGGCCACACCTGGAAGGACATAGGCAGGAGGCTGGCTGGATGGGAGCACACTGCTAACGGAGAGCCAGGCCGATGGCTTTGCCCCCTGGAGACACACGGTCCCTCATCCTGTACAGGACAGGCACTGTTCTGAGTTCTTTACATCTGTTGACTCCCAGCATGCTCCAACAACTCTATGAGGGTCTTCCTACTATCTCCATCTCACAGAGGAGGACCCTGGGGTCTTCTAAGATATATACCATTTACCTAAAGTTGCACAGGTAGTAGGTGGCAGAGCCAGGGCGGGAGCCCTGCATCTTCTCTTGCAGGTTTTGTTAGCCTGATCCTCCCCAGTCATCTGCTCTGGGTGGGAGAAGTCAGCTTCATTAGCCCAGCTCTCTGCCAACGCTGCAGCATCCGCAGCGTGTGGCTTGGCAGTGTCTTTAGCGTGCACAGCATGTTACTGGTGTGGTTTCTGCCCACACTTCCTGACCTCTGCTTCCTGGAAGAGCTCAGTGTCTGCAGGACCAGCCCCCACCCACCCAGAGGCAAACAGGGCTGGGAGCCCAGCATCCCCATGCCTTCCTTTCAGCCAGTTCAGATGTGTGTACCTGGCAGATGACTTACAGGACATTTCCATCCTCAGCAGTCATGAATTGAGGCTCTCGGGCTGACAGCTCTCCAAAAGCTTGGGTGAGGCTCCAGTCTCTAGTTGTACAACCTGTTGATCGACTTCTGTTCACAAGGCTGCCACTTTTCTTTATTCTTTTACATCTCCCTTTGAATTGAAAATTTAGAGCCGCTCACTTGGGGCCAGGGGGAGGAACTGGTCTCCAGAGACTGAGCAAAGAGCCTGCCTGTTGATAGGAATCAAGCCTTGGCCATGGGCATAAAATAAGGGGTGAGCGTGGCTGTTAGTGGAACAGGGAGCTAATGTTCAGTGTCTTGCCTCTGCCCTCAGGATGTGGGGCAATAAGATCGGGGACGAAGGAGCAAAAGCCTTCGCAGAGGCGTTGAGGAACCACCCCAGTCTGACCTTCCTGAGGTAACGGCTGCCTCTGAGGCTGAGGTCCCCGAGGGGAACCAGTCACCCAGCTATTCTGGGTTTTACCAAGGTGCACTGATGAGGAAGAGGGGATTGGCTTATCTCATAGGGGAGAGATTATAGGTGGTATTTTCCTCTTTCTAAAAGATTTTTCTTGATGCATTAGAAGCATGAAACACAGTACTCTTATGTGTTCAGCAGAGTGAGTTTTGTCCATGTACACCCCAGTGTAACCGCCACCCCAACCAACACACGGGATTTTTTTTTTTGTACCAGGGATCAAATTCAGGATCTTGGGCTTTCAAGGCAGGCGGCAATGCCACTGAGCTAAATCCCCGGGCCAACACATGAGATATTTGCAGCCCCTCAGCCATCCCCTCAGGCCCCTTGGGGGTTGGAAGAATTCCTAAAACTACATAAAACAGAAAGGCCCCTTAGCACAGAGATTCCTGCCCTTCCTGTCCTTCGGACTGGTGCGGCATAGAGGGGACCCTTCCTCCCTGTAAACAGGTGCTCCTTCCCAGCTCTTCTTCAGGCCTAAAGCCTATCGCAAGAGCTTTGGTGCCTCAGGCTCTGCCACTGCCCTTTGTGCCCCTGAATGAGAGTCCCAGTGAGGACAATAACAAGGGGAACTTCTGCAGATTGTTGAAGGAGCCCTTTGAGATTGTCAGTTGAGGCAGGGCTCTCGGGTCTCCTTAGCTCGCTGAGTCTGTGTCCACTTCCATCTGGCCTCTGCTTGAGCAGTCTTATGCCCATCCCCTTGCGCTGATCTTGGGCTCAGGCTGCAAAGCCTGGGCAGCGCTGATGAGGCTGAGTGGTTTCACTTCCTGCCTCAAAGTGGCCCGGCAGGCGCCACATCCAGATGGAGCTTCCCTGATGTTTGGAGTAGAAGCTGAGGGCCTCATGGATGTGTCTAAAATAACCCACCCCAAGTGTTTTCCTTCCTAGTCTTGCATTCAACGGCATCTCCTCAGAAGGAGGGAAGAGCCTTGCGAAGGCCCTGCAGCACAACACATCTCTGTCAATATTCTGGTAAAGCCTGAGTCATCTCCAGGGGTTGGGTCTTGGTAATTATGCCAGGGGCTGCTCACAGCCTGGAATCCTGACTGAAAAGTTGCCTCTCAATTGAAAAAAGATGGATTTAGTTTCTTCCTAGAAAAGAAAACAGCCATTTCCAGAAGCACAAATAGATATAGAAGGGGGACATGGGCCTCACGTGTGTGGGCTTGAGGCCTTGTCCTCCTGTGCCACTCTGCAGTCAGAAGGCCGGCCATTCACTCTGCGGGAGTCCCCTCAGGCCACCTCCCAGATGCCTGGGAGAGCCCAGCTTTCATGTGCCTGGCTCAGAATGCTCTCCCTTTCTCTTCTTGAGCTGCCTTCCCTCCACGCCTCCTTCCCTGGGTCTCTACATCACATCAGTGTTTGGCCTTCAGTGCCCCATCCTGCCTGTCACTTGTCACAGAAAGCCCACCGCTCTTGCTCCCTCTCTGCACTCCAGGGCACTTCACAAGTGGATGCTGCCTCCTGATGGTGCTTTTTGTTGTTTCTTTTCTGTGTCATTTGACCTTTGATTTTCCTTTATTTTTATTTTACTTACCTATCTGTATCATAAATTCCTTATGACTGAGCAAGGCACATTATACCCTATTGTATCACTCACCCACAGCCCAGCGCTCATTAGATTTTGCTAACATAATTACTGAAAATAATGAGCATATCATCTTTATGAGAGAGTTCTGATAGTTCTGATGGCTAGACCTGTTGGCCAGTAAATGAATTTTTAATTCTTTCCCTCAAAAAATCTTCATGATTTTGAAAAGTAATATATGGCTTTTTTAAAAAAATGTCTGACTAAAAGTATTAACCCAGAAATCTGAAAAATAGGAAATGAAACTACATCTCTTGTGTTCTCCCTTTAGCCTTTTTCTACGTATTCAAATATATGCAAACAGCCCTTACCAAGTAGCTTTAAAAAATAACTAAATATTGTACATATTTGACATGTACCTTCATGTCAGGTTTCTTGACCTCAGCGTTGTTCACATTTTGGTTCGAGTATTTCCTTGCTGTTGGGGGCTGTCGAGTGCATTGGAGGATGTTAGACATCATCACCAGCCCCTACCTGTTAGACACCACTGGCTCCCCCATGTGATGGTCACAGATGTTTCCAGACACAGCCAGGTGTCCCATGGAGAGCGAGATCACCCTGATTGAGAACCACTGCTCTGCATGGATAGTGACGTCGATACCTAGGAGTTGAGTGTGACTGCACTCTGTGTATTACTCTGCGCCTTTTCCATGTACTAACTCAGTCACACACCCATGTGGTACAGCTCTACCATTACTGTTCACATTTTCCCATGGGAAGACTCTGATCCAGAGAGGTAAACCGCTTGCCTGAGGTCACCTTGCTAGTGATACAAACCTGCCTGTCTGACTCCAGAGCACTTTGAAACACTGTACCCTTCTGCCTCCTCTATTCCCCCTCCTTCTTCCTAAGGCCACACAGTGTCCCTCTGAATGGATGGATGTTTGCTATTTTATCAGTTGTTTCCATTGGTAGGTGTTTCAAATTGTTCAAATTTTCATTATGACCAGTAATACCATGGCGTACCCTGCAAGGTGTGAATCTTTGTTCTACATCTTGCACAGTGTAGGGGAATTTTCTCTTAAAGTTAAACACATTTACAATTCGAACAGATACAACTCAACTGCCCTTTCAGGAATGACTTTTTAAAAATGATATTTTATTTCCAGTATTCTTATTATTCCTTCATTCACTGGAACAGGAGGGTCCAACCCTAGTTATACCCAGGAGCTTCCGAGTTTTATCCAGACCACTGATGGTGTTCAGAACAATCGAGAGGCTTTCTGAATGCTCAGTCACTGAACGTGGGTGGTTCACAGCTGGCTCAGAGCTCAGAGTTGCACGTGTTCCCTTGGCAGTGGTGGTGGGATTCCAGGTCTCCACACTGAGTCAGCTACCATGCTGTCACTGGTGTTCAAGGGGACCTGGGGCTGGAGGAAGCCTGAGATGCAGGCATGAGCCCTTGCTTTCTGGGGCCCCATCTTCTGTGAAATCTGGTCTTGGAAGGTCGGAAGTGAGGGCTTCACTGCAGGCAGCAGGGTTGGGACACAGGTGTCCGCGGGAGGGTCTCCCTAAACCTGAGGCCCCAGTGTGCCTGTGGGGTGGAAAGCCTGGCCAACCTGGCCCTTTGCTGGTTCTCAGCACGTGATGAGCTGCAGAGCCGCAGAGACCTGGGTCAGGATCCTGCTTCTCTGAACTCATTAACACTCTCTGCCTGCTCAGCTCTCCTGAGTCAACACTTCCTCTTTTCTAGGCTAACCCAAAATGAACTCAATGATGAAGTGGCAGAGAGCTTCGCAGAAATGCTGAAAGTCAATCAGACATTGAAGCACTTATGGTAAGTCAGAAAGCCATAGAATTTTTACACTTTCAAAAATATTTTTTGAGATAAAGTCACATACCATGGATTTCCCCCTTTTAAAGTGTACACACAGTTCAGAGGTTTTCAGTATATTCACAAGACTGCACAATCACTACTATCTGATTTTGAAACATTTTCACTACCTCCCCCTCCCCAAAAAAGCCCTATATGCCTTAGGCAGTTATTCCCCATCCTCCTCTTCCCCTACCCCCAACAACCATTAATCTACTTTCTACTTATGGATTTCCCTATTCTTTGCATTTCATGTAGATAGAATTATACAGCATGTGACCTTTAGTCTCTGTTTTCTTCTATTAGCATAAATTTCCAAGGTTAATCTGCATCATAGTATGTATCAGTACTTCATTGCTTTTCTCTGGTTAAATGATACTCCATTGGTTGCATGGGCATATGACATTTTGTTTATTCATCACTTGATTGGTTTGGGGGATTGTTTCTACTTTTTGACTATCATGAATAATGCTGCTATGAACATTTGTGTACATGATTTTGTGTGAGTATTTATGTTTTCATTTCACTTGAGTATATACTTAAAAACAGAATTGCTGTATCCTACAGTGATTTTATGTTTAACTTTGGAGGAACCACCAAACTGTTTTCCAGAACGGCTGCACTATTTTACATTCTTGCTGCAGCCTCTGATCATTCCAACTTTACCACATCCTCATCGACCCTTGTTGCTGTTCGTCTTAAGTCTAGACATACCAATAGGTGTGACGCAGTACCCTGTTGTGGTTTTGATGTGCGTTTTCCTGCTAGCAGTGTTGACTGTCTTGTCAGGCACCTGTTGGCTGCTGTACATCTTCTTTGAAGAAACTTCTCCACATCCTTTGCCCATTTTAAAACTGGGTTCTCTGTCCTTTCATTGCTGAGCTGTAGGGGATCATACCCTGGGTGCTAGACTTTTTTTTAATACAGGATTTGCAAGTATTTTTTCTTTTTCTATAAGGTTTTTCTCTTCCTTGAAAGTGACCTTTGAAGCACAGAAAGTTTTGGTTTTGAAGAAGTCCAGTTTACTTGCTTTTTCCTTGGTTGCATATACTTCAGAAGTTTTATCTAAGAAACCATTGCCTAATCCAAGGTCATGATTTACACCCAAATTTTCTGCTAAGTTTTCTAGTTTTGCTCTAACAGTAGATCTATGATCCATTTGAGTTAATGTTCGTGTCTAGAGTGAGGTGGGAGTCCAACTTAATTCCTTTGTGTGTGAATATCCAGCTGTGGGGCACTATCTGTTGAAAATGCTCTTTCCCTGTTGAACACCTTGACACACTTGTCAAAAATCAGCTGACCAGAAATGCTTGTCTAGATTCTATTCCAGTCTGTTGAGCTGCATGTCTATCCTTACATCAGGACTGTGCTGTCTTAATTATTGTAGCTTTGAAATCAGAAAGTGAAGCTCCTCCGATTTTGTTCACTCCCCCAGATTGTTTTAGCCATTCTCCGGCCCCTGCATTTCCAGATGAACTTAGAATCACCATGTCCATTTCAGCAAAATCTGTTTTTCTTCCTTTTATGTAGCTTGCAGCTCCTCTTTGGCCCTGCCTCAGAGCCAGGCTAGCTTTCCTGCAAGCAGGGAACCTGAGCAGACTGGGGAGTCATGACTGCTTCCTGTGTGCACAGCTTGCTGACCTGGTGGAGGCAGCCCCAGTGTGCAGATGTGCCTGCCGCTGCCGGGTGTTTTTAGGCACCATCTGTCCTGGCCTCCTGCCATGTCTTGATTGAAGACAGCCTGCCTTGCCCCCTAAAAGATGTTAAGGGGGGGTAGTGGCAGTTACCACGCAGGTGGTGAGTAGAAAAAAGCATTATCTGGATGTGGAACTCTGTATGCACTTCCAGGTTCCCTTTTGGTTCATTCTGCTCAAGTCCCACTTGTGGAAATGCTCACTGGAAGGTCATAATCTCTGCCACTTAGCCAAGGGCTGTGGCTGGAACACAGGGTCCCAATGGGAGCCCGGCCACCAGTGGTCCTGTGTGCCTGGCATTAATGTCAAGAACTCTTTACACTGGGCACCATGCCTCACATTCACCCTAGTGTGGGGGGGGCACTTTTGTAATTATTCCTATTTTACAGATGAGACAACTGAGGCATGGATAAGTTTATTTCTTCAGGGTCCTTTTGCTGAAAAGTGAGGGGACAGGGCTTGGAGGGGAGCTTCTGACCCCTGTAATTAGGACTTTTTAAGAGGGAGGCCTCTTTATGCTGAATCTCTATAACCTCATCCATCGTAAGAGCACAGCCCATATCCTCCTGCACGGCACCTTCTCAGGTCAGTGCCCAGGCTTTCTAAGAGCTGGGTCCAGCAGTAGCCTGTTGTACCAACAGCCAGGAGTGGGGAGTGAGCTTGGGACGAAGGATAGACACCTCACTGTCTCTGTCTGCATTTATTTCCTGGTTGGTCAGGGGCCTGGCTGCCAGCCAGCATTTCAGGAAAGCTCCAGCCATGCCCGCTATGTCAGAAACTTGGTTTCCTCTGGATCTCGGCACTCAGCAGCATGGGGCACATTTATTTCTTTTTTTTTTTTTTGTATTAAATTCTTTTATTGGTACATTGTAGGTATACAACACAATTACATTTCTCACTGGGAGCTTGTACCTTTACATGATGCATCTTCGTTCTTATTTTTTCCCCATTCCTAGCCCTCCCTTCACGCCCTCCACCTTTCCCTATTTACAAAGACTTTATTTCCATTTTTTCCATTTCTCAACATTTTTCCTTTCTCTTCTTTCCTTTCCCCTGCCCCTCCCACTACCCCTACCCCTTTGGACCTTTTCTTCCTATTTTGCGTTATCGATTATTCATTCTAATCATTGGTACATTTTAGGTATACAATATAATGAAATTCATCATTGGAAATTTGCACCTTTACATAGTCTCTCTTGGTTCTTATTTTTCACCCTTGCCCAGCCCTCCCTTCAACCCCTCCATTCCTCCCTATTTACAAAGATTTTGTTCCTATTTTTCCATTTTCTCATATTAATTCCATTCCCTTCTTTCCTTTCCCCTACCCCTCCACCTTCCTTCCTATATCTTTTTTGTTTTGTTTTGTTTTGTTCATTTTGGTACCAGGGATCGAACTTGGGTCCTTGTGCCTGTGCAGCAGGCAGCAAAACCACTGAGCTAAATCCCCGGCCCTTTTTTTTAATGAATCTTTTTTTTTTGGTACCAGGAATTGAACTCAGGTCCTTGCACTTGTGCAGCAGGCAGCAAAACCACTGCGCTAAATCCCTAGCCCTGGGGCACATTTCAAGAGACCCTGTTATCAAGGTTTCCCACTGGACTCATGGGTGGTGGCAGCAGGACTCTGTCTCTCTCTGCCCTTCCTGTGGATGTTGGGAAGGACATGCTAGCATCTTAAGGGCCTTTGGGTCCCTAAGGAGGGACAACTAGTTGGTAGCTACTTAAGTTTAAAAACTGCCTTTCCTTTCCTCTCTACCCAGGTGGTGTCACATGGCCTGTCCCCTGGCGATGTTTCTCAGAATTTGTTGTTCAGATCAGTGGTTTCCAAACCTTTTTGGTTGGGTGGTGAAAAAGGTCACACACACACATTTGTTCATGTATTGCACTGTCTATATATGAATTTACAGATATATTATGCTCACTGTAAGAGATTCAAACCTTTTAAACACTGCCTATATCTGACCGAGACACACCTAGCTTGCTGAAGTCATGAAGACCCAGCCCCCCCAGCCCCTCTCTGATCCCATTTGACCCTTCCACTCCCTGCAAAAGGAGAAGATTCAGCCCAGTGTTCTGCACTGGACACAGGTATGCTCTTCTTTCAGGCTTATCCAGAATCAGATCACAGCCAAAGGGACTACCCAGCTGGCAGAGGCACTCCGGGAGAACACTGGCATAACGGAGATTTGGTAAGGCCACCCACGACTGGGCAGAGTGACAAGGACAGTGATGCCAACTCAGCACTCTCACTGTGTGCCAGGCCCTGGGCAGGGCAGTTAGTATTTATTCATCCAGTACTCTGTAGTGTGGTGGTGTACAGATGTAGAAACTGAGGCCCATGAGTAAAATGTGCCCAGGTTCACACATAGAGGAGTAAACTGAGCCCAGCTTGATGTCATGGTTTGTGCTGTCCTGTCCTGCGCCTGTCCTTGCCCCACTTCATGGGCCTGTCCCCGGGAAGCACCTGGGACACTAAGCCTGAGAGTGGCCAGGCTGGCCAGGAGTTTGGAGCTTGTGCTTCCCTTTTTCTGGACATTCTGGGATTCAGGAGACTTCCAGGCTGCAATTGAGCCATCATATGTTCTTTCTCTCCTCTGCTTTGAGAGCTTGATAATTCTAATGGAAGAAAAGCCATCCTTTGCTTTAGGATGATGTGGAACTCACTCCCCTTCTTTTGTGCCTCAGAAGACCCCCTTCCCCCGTGCACACACATGCACACAGCATCCCCTTTGGTGACTAAATGGCCTGACTGAGGGGCCGGAGGGACTTGTAGAATATGCATTACATTCCAGGAGCCGTGGGTCACCACACCTGTGCACCTGCTTTATGCCAGGCACCGTGGGCAGCAGGGCTGGGGCAAGTGCAGTAATTAATGTGACTCAAGGGGCCCTCACTGCTGAAGAGCACTACCTGAGCCGAGGAGAGAGGTCAAGTGGCTAGACTCCTAAATGCTCTGAAATGTGTTCTCAACCTCTGAAGTGAGAGCCCCTCCTGGTGTGAAGCTCAGGCCCCACAAGTGGCAGGGAGTAGAGCAGGTGTCTGTGGAGGGCACAGACTGTAGAGTTCATTTGCCCACTGTGGCTTCTCTGAGCCCTGTGAGCAGCCTTACCTCCGCTCAGGGGCAGTTACCATTAACTACTTTCTCCCTTCTTGACTTTCATAGCCAAAAAAAATGCAGTCCTTGCCTCCTCAAATAGTGTTTCTTCTAGAACTCTTTAGAGATCATGAAATAAGTCTGGTGGATTACAGCCAACATTATTTTAAAATGAAATAGACAAAGACAGAACACCGGTTGCAGCCTGCAAAGGAGGGAGAAGTATTATTCATTAGTCTTATTCCAGGCACATGTGCAGGGGTGTAGAACACACCTGTTTCAGCATAAAATGTGATTCTTATGTGAAGATGCAGTCAAAACTTTTTTGAAAAATGCTGTCACAGAGATCCAACAAGACAACACTGATATTTGTGCAGTGGCTCCTCAGACAGGAAGGTGCTGGAGAGCAGGGTTTATCTGCCCAAATCTCTAGCTACCCTCACAGTGACCCTGCCTCGGGCCATTCCATTTCCTGCTGACTTGGAGATTTGAGAACAGGCAGTGGGCAGCTGAAAGAGGCCAGCCAGATTTCAGAACAGGGTGCAGACCACAGTTGGCTTGCACGGTGCTCCCATGCTAAAAGAACAGTTGTCTGGATCTGTAGCTGCTTTCATTTTGTCAGGCCTGAAACGATTTGTGTGCTCCTTCCTGAGGGCCACTGTTCCTGCAGCTAGGACCTACTTGAGCAGGGACAGGTGTCCTTACCTTCGAGGCGTGCTTTCCACAGTCTGCAGGAGGTACTTGTGTCAGGTGGCTAGGGGCTCCGCCACTGATTCTGAGGGGGCAGGACAGCTGGCTCAGGTGCTGGCCTTGAGGCATCTTCATTTCAGCTCCTGTCTTGTCCTGAGAGCTGCCAAAGGATGTTCCTGTGTGTGACTTCATGAGACTGGACTCTGAGAGGGTTCTGACCCTGTCCAGGGGCTGCTGCACTAGGCTACAGCACTGTGGCAAGGCTGGCAGGAGAACAGCTGCTGGAGGCCATAGCTGACATGGACAGAGCACCTTCTTGAACTCATTTTCTGCAGGCACTGATTTCTACCTCATTCTTCTCCAAAGAGAAGTCCCTTGGTGAGTTCTGTCTTCAGAGACAGAGCTTTTTGTGTGATGCTCTCCTGCAGACTGTGAGCTCTCCTTAAGGGTGGGGCCTCCATCATGGTCCCAGCCATGTCCCCAGGGGCCAGTACTGTGTCTTCATTCCTTCCCTGAACAGCACAATGCTTGAATGCCAGGCATTGTGCTAGTACTGGGAATCCAGTGGTGAACAAAACGGGCCTGCTCTCTTGGGTTCATTGTCTCTGAAGGAGATGCACAGGAAAGGGGAAAAATCATTCAAGTAATTAGTTACCACAAGGAGGGGGCTCTATAAAGGGGAAGACCAGGAGGGAATCTGATGGAGGAGGTTTCAGGGACGGTATTCTAAGGAAGTGGCCTTTAAACTAAGCCACGAAGCATAAACAGGAGTTAGTTAGCTGGGGCAAAAGCACTGCAGGTAGGGGTACAGCATGTGCAAAGCTCTGGGGGATGGGTCCATACAGAGCTGCAGAAGCTAATGTGTCATAGGTACAGGCTGTGGAGGAGGAGGCTGAGGCATAGGCAGAGGCTGAGCCATAAAAGATCTGTGGGTCACATTGCATACTTTGGTCTCTATCCTAAAAGCAATGTTAAGTCATTGAAAGGTTTGAAGCAGAAGAAGGATCGGGTCAGATGTATAAAATAAAGAAACCACTCTTGGCTCTTCTAGGAAACTGGATTTGAGAAGACCAGGGCACATTTAAAGGGACCAGTCAGCAAAGCATTGTTGTGGTCCATAGAAGAGCTGCTGGTGCTTAGATGAGGTTGGTAGGTTAAAGCTATCGAGAGACTCCAGAGAGGCAGTCCAGGGATGGTCAGGAACTTTGTGATAGGGAGAGGTAGAACTTTGTGGGAGAAGGACTCTGGGGATGGGAAGAAGGTGCCAAGGCGGACCCTATGAAGGGTCCTGTGGTACTATGAAGAGTGGGACCATTCAATCAGCCCAAGGGAGCTGTGGTCTCTTCAAGGTTCTGGAGATGACCAAGGAAAGCTAACAAGTAGGAAATGGGCTCTAGTGAGCTATGGATGAAATAGCCTGGGGAAAAGGGCCTGGCCCCAAGCTTGGAGAAAGCCCAGTATTTAGAGGTCACATCGGAAGGGTACATAGGAAAGGAGACTGAGTCAGGGCACCTAGAGAAAACCCAGAGAGCATAATGCCAAGCCAAGGGAAGGGATGCTTCAAAAAGGAGGGAGAGGTCAGGATGGCCAAAGGCCTGTGAAGGCTCAATAGAAAGATAAGACCTAAAAAATGTCATTAAATTTAGGCTTATGGGGACTGTCAGTGACCTCGGTTAGAGCAAATTAGTAGAGAGTGATGGTAGCTGGAGACGATTAATGTTACTATCAAAGAACTATTTGACTAGAGCATGCCCCTTAATTTCGGGGTGCTGGGAAGCACAAGCATGTGTTAGGGACACATGTTTGGAAGGAGCATATAATAATCCCTAAGACTTTACATATGTAAAATTTGTTCTTCTCTTTCTCACAAGTCTAAATGGAAATTTGATAAAGCCAGAGGAGGCCAAAGTCTTCGAAGAGGAGAAGCGTCTCGTCTGTTTCTGAGAGGACTTTCCCATGTGTGGATCTTCACCCTGGTGACTTCTCAGCATCAGACACTGCTCTGTACAGTTGGTGTGTAGGATGCCCTGTGAGGGCTGCTGCCAGGGGACTGTTAGGAACCCACTGTTTCACCTTGAAAATCAGCCTCCTTGCGGATGCTCCGGCTGGCAGGCGCCCTGCCTAAGCAGCAGTGAGGATTCTGTAGAAGCTAAGTGTGTCTTGTGTGCCACTCCAGTTACTGCCAGGCAGTAACATGTTTTCTCTCCCGTGAAGAGACTTAATGCATATCCATAATTATTTTATCAGAAGCTGGGGTAATAAGACAGAGGAGAACAGAAGATGCTAATCTCAGCTTGTACAGATGCTGCCCTGAGGACCAACAGGAGCACACTGGTCTCTGATGTCTTCATGGAAGAGCTGAGGATGTGTGTGCCAAGTTTCTTGGAAAGAAGGTGCTCAATAAACACGAAGTGTTATGCCTGAAACACCCCCTCTCCTTACTCCCCGTGAGTTGGTACTGTTTCCACTTCGCAGCTGTAGACACTGAGGTGTAGACAATGAAGACTGGGTTCAGCCAAGTTCCTGCAGGGAGAAAGCTCATCACAGGAATTGGTGTCAGTCCTGGAGTCTTGCTGAATGCTTAAGAAGATCAGAGGTTGCCCTCTTAGCTGGTCTGAGAAAACGAACAATGCCTTTATGCTGTGGAATTCCTACTCTGGGCTGTTTCCTGTCAGTCAATCTCCCTGGAAGACTCCATACTCAGGGTTGACGTGCCTGCCCCAGGAAGAAGAATCCACTTCTATGCTCCAAACTGGACTTGGCATCCAAATGGAAGCTTTTCTCTCTTTGTGTCTTGAGAAGTCTCTTCCTGCCCTTGAGCAGGCGGAGGGTTACTGAATACAGTCAGGACTCAGGTAACTGCCCTCGAACTCACCAGCAAAGCATGGTAGCCAGACACCCACCACCATGGCTGGCACGCGGTAGATGCTCAGTGGGGATGGGGTGGTGATATTTCTATAACTTGTTCTTTTGCCATGTCATTTAATAAAATAATGAAAATGCTACTCAATGGCTCAGATCTGGGGTTTTTTGAAGGGATGTGGCTGAGTAAGCACACTAGGAACTGGAGCCCCATCCTGCATTGGGCGTTCTGGGTAATGTGCTGTATGGAGAGCCCTGTTAGGGGAAGGCTAGGGCATCATCAGGTGGAGCCTTGGCAGACCTCTCCACCTACCAAGGGACAGGAAGAGGTGGAGGCAGTATCTGAGCTGCTCTGTTTGGTCTCTGAATCCATACAGGGAGCTTATGCATCAGAACTGGTTGGGTCAGGACATGTGGGCTCGGCCCAATTGCACACCCCCAGTGCTCTGCATGGTAGGTCCTGCAGGCTGGGTCCATTGACTTCTTCAGCTCTTCCTGCTGTGTGGAGGGCCAGGTGGGGCTGTGGCAAAAGGCGGCACTGAGGTGACAGGCAGCATGTGATTGAGGAGGGTCCTCCAGCAGCCTCTTTGGGCTCCCAGAGTTTAGCCTGGTTTTGCAGGTAGCCTGTTAGAGTGCCATCCAGGAAGTTATGGGGGAAATCCTGTAGGGTCTGACTTCATTTCCCTTTAAGGCTCTGACTGCCATGGTGACTACTTCCATGTACCTTTTCCCCAGCCCAGGCTGTGTTGTCACCTAATGATACCCCTCTGAGGTGCCAACTCTCCTTAGTGCAGAACCTGGGCAGTAAGTCTGTCTGGAAAGCACATGGCATGGCATGCCGAAGGCCCAGGCTGCTTGGAACCGACTGCAGACCCAGCAAACCTCACTGAGAACCACACTTCCCAGGAACAACACTTGGGTATGATTAAGTAGCTGAAAGTAAACTCTTCAGAGCCTAAAATGCATTCAGAAATTACCTAACACTATTGCTTTTAAAGACTATCAAAATTAAAACTGTGGCTTCTGGGGGACTAGGATTTGTGTGGTTATTGGCTTAAATTCTCTTTACAATACTTCAGTCTTCTAGATGCTGAAAAGTAGATTCCTACCTTCTTATAAACCTGAAAGTAGGCTCCTGCTTTCCTGGAAAGGGTTCCACTACAAAGTGAAGCTTCTCCTGTTTAAGAAAAAGACAATGGGAATTTTAAATGAGCCCTGTGAACTTGGTATATGACTACTTCTTTACATAGAACATCTTGGCTGATTCTGGAAAAGAAACTAAGCTCCCCTATTTTGTAGCTATATTTACATCACGACCAAGCTAACTTGGAATTTATTTTTAAAAGCCCAGTAAAGTCACTGGGGAAGTGGAATTAGCGCCACAAAGCTCCCAGTCTGCTATTGCCTAGCTAGGCGCTTTGGGCCAGGTCTAGGCCTGTTGGAAACTTAATACCTTCTTTGAAAAGTGTAACTCCAAGTGCCCTGACTCAGGAGGTGGCTGAGAGGAAGAAATGAGATGTCCTGGGGAGTGTTCAGCCGGGCCCAGCGTGAGGCCCCACTTCATACTCACCAGGTGTCATAAACCCATCTTCTCACCTCCACTCAGTGCAGCTCCTGATTCTCTTCTCACTCCTAAGCACAGGGGCTTTCCAACAAGGCCCAATATGGCAGTGGAAGTTCTCAAAGTAAAACCCCAAAATATCTGACATAAAGCTTCCTGCAGTATCCTAGCTTTGTCAGTGAAAAACACAGCCATTTGTTCTTCATCATCGCCAAAGAGTGCTACTGTTTAAGTATTGACTTACTGAGCACAGGCACTCACAACAGGTAACAGGGCAGGGGCCAGTACCACCACCTAGCCGGGTTGTGCCGCTGTCCTGACTGCTTTGCAGCTCCTGAATCAGGAAGGAGTGTTGGGCTCATCAATATTGTGGTCCATTTCCACATGTGGCACACATCTGTTTCCAGTAACTAACTGCTCTCTTACAGAAAATAGCCTCGCTTGGGAGCTGAAAGGTAAAACCATGTCCATAATCACAGGTTCATGAGGGGAATTTTAATGAAAGTAGAATTGGCTTGCAAGGAGGCCAAGGCTGTGTTACCACCTAGATGGGTAAAATAGGGCCTTGAAGCAGAGCTGCAGGTGGGGGCCATCCCAGCACCATCTTCTCCACCTGAAGACAGAGGAGCTGCATCACAACCAGCTCAGTGCTTCTGGAGGCACTAGGCCCTGAAAAATGATCTGTAACCAAAAGGATTCAAAACAATGGGAAAGTGTAAAATAAGTATAATGATGCTAAACAAGTTTTTGATCCCCCCAGCCCGACTACTTAGATGCTTTTGGGAGCCAATAATGTCAAAACATCTCAAAAATTTTTCCTTTTTTTGCTCTCTCTCACAGTGTACTTATTTTTGTTGTACAAGCAATATCACAATGTTAAAAGAATTTTAAAATAATATATATAAAAACACAATACTAATGTAGCTATTTTAATTTTTGCAAATCATCCTTCATGATTTGCCTGCACATCTTTCTCATTAATACTTACAATGTATGTTTGAAATTCTTGTAATCAGACATTTTCCTACATTGTTACATAGTCTTTGCAATCATCATTCGCATTCTGTAAATTTGAGAATTTGCTTTATCATGTTCCAATTGCTAGACATTCATGTTTCCAGATTGGCTGTGGTAGTGATTATCAGAGACAACATTTTGGTGGAATTAAACATATCTGTAGTTATTTCTTCGGAGTGGGATTATCAAGGCATAGATTCATGCCATGTCTCTTCAAAACTATGTTAGGACTATAATAAATGGTTTGGAAGCAGGTAGAAGTTAAAGAACAATGCAGCATGAAGCCATCAGTTTTCCTTGTAAAGAGGAAAACAACTCCCTCCATTCCCCTCAGCCTAGACAGTGCCCAGGCACTGTGTACACACACACACACACACACACACACACACACGCACACACACACACAGAGAGAGAGAGAGAGAGCGAGAGAGGGAGAGAGAGATGGGTATCACTATACCGGCATTGGTAGCAACTACAGCTTCAGGGAAGAGTTATTAACCCACACATCAGTATGTATTATAAAGTGGTACTCTATAAGATGATGAGTAGTGTGTAGGTTTGGGAACCTTGTCAGTCATTTTTCCTTGATTTAAAGACTTTAGAGAGAGAGAGAGAGAGAGAGAGAGAGAGTGTGTGTGTGTGTGTGTGTGTGTGTGTGTGTGTGTGTCTTTGCTTTGCCTAAGCAAACCAGGCCAACTGGGTCCACCACTTCTGGGTCAAATGGAAACTACTTCCACCACCGTGTGAGGAAGGTATTATTTCATGAATCAGGAAACTGAGAGCTAGAAATAATGAATATGTATCTTGTCTTATTAACTAGGATATGTATAAAATGAAAAAAAAAAAGAAGCAAAACCTTTAGGAAGGGGATCTCAGCAAAGGCAAAATGTTGCACCTGGCCACATCTAGGATTTCAAGCTCACTCAGTCCAGCCCTTCACTCTAACTGCAAGAAAACTGGTGTCAGGAGAGCAAAAGCAAACTGCCCAAGGTCACACATGTTACTGGAACAAAGGCCTTCTGGCTTGTTTTACTTCTCTCTGTTTTGATGGAGTTTGCAACCTTCAGTTCATTCTGTAATTAACCTTTCTGCCAAGCCTATTAAAACACGATTCCAAGCTGCTAGGACAGGTCAAGCAAAATAGAATTGTTTCCCCAAGGACACAGAAGGGGGTCTTTCTAGTGTTCTTGGTATTTCTTTGGAAAGTGTCCTTTTCTCCTACATTCATGATCCTAAAAGCTACAGGACTCAGGAGTCATGTCTATGAGCCTCAATGACAGTTGTAGGTCATGAGAGCAACCTGGAGAATGGCCGGTAAGTTTTGACTCTTTACATCCAACAGATTTATCTCAGCCATGCATCCTCCATACCCCAGCCATGGGACTGACCAAAGGAAGTAGGTGCGTCCCAGGGAGCTGCAGATGGTTGCATGGGATTTGATTTTCATCAC